AGTACAAGGCAAGTTATACAGTGCAACAAGTAATGCATCTATAAAACAACTAACCACATACTAACAACATTTTTCCATGTCTCACTGACAAGGTTCTGGGTTGAAATTGAAGAGCCCATATCATGAAAAAGGTGTGATTCAAACATTGTTAAAGATTCAAAATGTAGTGTTCACTCACCAGTCCATACAGTCAGTATATGGATTCAAAGCTTGCTTTGAATTTGTTGTTTTTTTTTTTTGGTGTCATGAAAAGCAACTGTACTATGCAAACATTTTAGGCACCTGAGAAAAATATATTTAAAAAGTTATCTGGACAGTAAACATTTATTTGTTCAGAAAACCACTAATATTGCAATAAATACAAATAACAATAATGAATTATGATTTTTGTCATTGTGTTCATTTAACTATTTCCAGACCTCTCCTCATGGCTGCCCAGCATGACTTGTACTTATTATCCATCACCTGGTTTGGATAATCAGTGCTTTATGTTAAATCAAGTGTGCTAGTGATGGAATTTAAAAAAAAACGTGATGGCTGGAGGCATCTGCAACTCTAAGCTTTTCAAACTAGCCTATAACAACTACATTTTAGAAATACATTTTTTTTTCTGTATTCATGTTTATTGCATTTATTCTAATGATATATGGTGTACAAGTAAAATCATACTTACTGCTGAGATAAATGGTTTTAAACAATGTGCTCAGGTACCTAAGACTTTCGCACAGTACCATATATACACCTATTCAAAGTTTAACCAAGCAAGTTATGAGGACTGCTTGTTGAATGAGGTGTAATACAGGATCGCCAATCAAAAGACAGTTCATTTACATACATCAGTCCTAAAAGCACCATTATATAAACAGCCTGATTAGTTACAAGTGATAAAAAGAGGTTGTGAGAAAAGTTATGACTATTTGTATAGAAAATCACAAATGTCATAAGGGGAAAATGCAAGTAAAATGTAGGATAGAATGTGTTCTTTAAAATCCATTTTTAATTGTAAGGGATAGAGAAAGGTTGGAAAATGGTCATGTGAAAATTAATGACTATTCTTAGTACATACACCTATGCAAATATTGCAAGTGGATTTCTGGACAAACTTCAAACAAGAAAATCAAAGTTTATTAAGGTTAGGGTTGCATTTAATAGACTCCATTCCATTCAAATCTGTTAATTAAAGACAAACCGAGCATCTACAGTGGAAAATAATGTTACTTTACATTTTTCTTAATCATTGAAAATTTAATACGAAGCATTGAATTCCACTTACTTTTAAGCAAGCCTGATAACTTCTTGACGAAATTACAAGTTTGCTAAGACTAAAATTTTATGGAAGAGGCAAAGTCGACGCGTACTTGCTGAATCAAATATGTGAGTGCTTACCATTCCCTATTGTGTGGCTGGATTCTGTATTCAAGGGGAGAAAAAGCTTTACACTCTCCTTGAAGTGATGATTAAAAGGTAGAACTTCCTAAATAGCCAGTCCACAGCTAGCATTTTACTTTGTCCTTGACAGAGAGCTGAACATACAGGTTAACAAGCCTCACTGTTGCTGATGGAGAACAAAAGCCTCATTTCTGGCCAGGGTCCAAGGAACTCTGCTTTCTTGCCTACATGCATAGTAAGCAATGTGAGGTTGCTGGGCAGATGCAGGTGTTCAGATTAGCTTCTCCTTGACTTGTCATACTTTCACAAGCAGAGGTCATGCCAACTTTCCTTTGGAGAACTGTTTAAAAATCACATTAATATAAAACAATACATTCGCCCAGCTATTTTAATGTCAAGGCTAGATTAAACTATGGTTAACTGCTGATGCTCCAATCAGCTATGCAGGACCTTAAAACTAAAATCAGAGAAATCAACAGGAAAGTATAAGCCAACCTTTAGAGGGCACCATTCCTCACTGTGCCTGCCTTACAACTGTTTTTTATAAGCTTTATCCAAACTAATAGAAGCTTTCAGTGATGTCATCACTAAGATACGACAGACTAGTAACTTCGTATTATTTATACATTTATTGTGCAGCAAGAGAAGCATAGACTCTGTATTAAATGTGGTCATATAGTGTGTTTTGGCCAGTACTGGATGACAAACCATTACATCAGACATCTTTCTTCCACCTAGTCTAAACCCTGAATGCAGATCGGGTGGCAGCCGTGACCAGTTTTATAATGTAGCCTGTATATAACAGCCTGTTATTAGGGCTTCACACACTATCACTCAGATTAAGACCAGGCACATTTCCTCTTTTGGCTTCACAGCCCTGACACTAATGTTTCTCTCTTTCTCACATCCCTTTCTATAGGTATTTTAAGAACGTCCATAACTCTGCATTACGTCAGCAACTTTGCTTTCTCTGAAACCATCTGGACATCTCGCACTGGTCTTTTGGTAGGATTGTATAGTTTTATTTACAATGTAACTTAAGTTATAAAACGGCAAGCGCTCAGTTTTCGGCGTTGCAGCTGTTAACTTTCTATGGTGCATTTGTGTCGGGAGTTCAGGGATTTCGGGAAAGTGAGCAGTGACAGAATGTGTATTGTTTCAGGAAACCCAAATGTCATGCAGTAACTCATTTCCCCCGTGATTAGGGGGTATTTTCTCTACCAGACATTTGTAAAGCTTGTTTAAGCCTGCAAAAACAACTCTCTACCCTGACTTCTCCCAAGGCACCCATACTCCCTCATATCCATGATGTGCTGTCCTGCCAAATGGAACTATTCAGAAATGTTCAAGCATTTGCCATGTTTCAAAGTTATCGCAGCCGTGATTTAAAGGATGTTCATGGGCATTTTTCATGCCCAGATAATACGTCAGCTGTTCCAGTGTGCACAAAACAATTTCCATGATGTTCACTGTCCAGTCCACAATGTGCACTGCCAAAGTCAAGCAGACAGAAAACAGACACTATTATGACTTAAATAATAATCATCTCCTGAAAGGAATACTCTTGTCTCTATATGGCTACGTATGTATAATAGTTCTATGTCATTCTCCAGTAACCACCACCCCCATGCACACTCATGAAAAAGATTTCAGAAAACCCTAATTTCTAGGGGGAACTAAAACCAGTGCATTTTTCAGACCACATTTCAGGCCAGCTACATGATATCTGAAGTTATAGGCCTGCAATTTTGCAACAGCATGTTATATAATGATGACCAGCCTGTGCATTTTATAAAATCTGCTTATCAAGTAGTCTTTTAACCACTAAAGCCACATAGGGATGTTAAACTTGGCTCAGATCTGAGTTAGACTGTGAGGGCGTGATCAAGTCCAGATCAAATAAGGATCGTAGGGATTCAAAGATGACCATCTGTGACTGAAGGGAAAATTGCCTAATTTCCAACCAAAATCTGCTTCGTTCTCACCGACCAGCTGCCATTCTGAATCCTGAATTCTCAGCACCCTTGGGTGAGGCGGTATTGCGTTTTTAATTTTCTTCTACTTTTAATTTTGCCCACTAAAAGTAAACATTTATTTGAGGAGAAAGTGCATGAATGCTCATTACCATCCTGAATCACTTACTATTCCAATTTCAAACGGTCTGGTCATTTTAAAAGCACTTACAGATATGTTGGTATACTGTCACAGGAGCTCAAGAAAACACATTAACCAAATAATCCAAGAATGGTAGATGTATGGAAATGTAAATATTCAGAAGCTTTCTTCATCAGTATCTTCTAGTGTAAGGCAAGTTGGTAATTGACTTATGAAGACCCACATTAGAGAGCGTGCTCTCATTTTATTTGAACATTACAAATACAATTTTAACAAATGACCAATTACATTTTAGGTTCAGTACTTTTGTCATGTGGAATCATACAGAGGGCAGTGGATTAAAGTTATAATGCAGCACTAGCTGCCTTTTGACTATGAGGACTGACCCTGGAGCAGCTCTTCACGCTGTGAGGGGGAAAAAAAATAAATCACCATAGCTTTCTCCGGAGCCGATGATACTTTGACACTTTATTGAGGGTCTTGAAGTTTAGTTCAAACTTTTTTCTCTAATTTAGTGTACATGTAGACCTAAAACGACAAGCAGTAACGTTTTCTGATTATTTTTAAAGCAACTAAAAGATGGACTAGAGGACACCTTTAACAGTTAGCCTTTCTCCCAGTTCTGTTGCGGTTAGCTAGATAGTTTTGTAATTCAAGTTTATCGCAATTAGCGCATTTTAAGACTTAATTAAACCGGGCCTTTTAAGCACACCAAATTAAAATTACACTTCAAATACTCATTTCTTATTTCTATACAATATTTAAGATCAATTCGGAACAGCCTTTTGGCGTTTAACAGAATTACGGTTAGGGCTACAAAGACCAGCAGAGTGCACAGGCCTTCATCAGAGAGCAAAACAAACCTTCACGAAAAGCCTCACCTCAGCTGGCTTACGGAGGTCGGAGCTTGGCCCATCGAGGTTTTTCAACTGCCAAGGTTTTTTTTTGTTGTCTTTGTTTAATCTTTGCAGATTTGGGAGATGTACGATACTGTCAAAGGCTTTAGTTGTTAAAACAGTATGTTCGTAAATTCTTCATCTTTAACAGGACCTTGTGGATAATTCCTACAAACGTTTCAGTTCTTTTTCCTTACCTCACAGATTGAATACATGGTCTGTATAAACATGATAAACTGTTTGCCACTCCATCCTCCTCTTTACACGGGGTATAAGACCAGTTTTAAGGTTTTTAATGCTGAATTATTGATGCCAACCAGAAGTGAAAGGATTTTCATCTGTGAAGGGATTTTGACCATTCCGCCTAAACCGTTTCGCTGAGCTGAGCTGTTACAGCTGAATAAATGCAGTTGATAGAACAAAACATCGTCGGGGCCTCTTCACCCACATTAGGCTCCTTAAAGTGGTTTACTCGCCCATGTTTCGACTCGAAACTCTTCTTGCGATAATGAATGACGCACTCATTTATTTTATGTAAATCTTCAATCATTTACGTGAACTAGCCTGTATTACAATTGAAACAGACAACAAAGGCTGGAATATGTTGGTAACGTTTATTTGCATAAAACGCGTTGATCACCCACCTGAACAACCGCAGTGATTGTCACCGAGAACAATAGCTGAAAGTGCGAGCAATAGAGATCCAAAGGCAAACGTCCATGCTCGGCTCCGCCAGGAGAAACAAAGGCGCCAGTCTTACGGAGTGTTAGACAACAGCAACACAAAGACATCATTGGGTAATTCTTAGTTTTTTAGTTTGAAAAAAAAAAAAAGAAAGGGAAAGTGAACTGTAAAGAAAGTGAAGGCTGCTGCAGTCCCTCTGGTCATTACTAACTCGCCCAGACAGCCGTGAACCTCACACGCCTGTATGGTAGCGCCTTGTTTCGGCGAGCCATTCATTCCCGCGGCTTATTGTTCCAGCGATCCTCGCGGAGAAGCGAAAACCAGGAACATCCAAAGCCGACGTCGCTGATTTTTCCTCACTGTGTGCCTTAAAAGTCACTGAGAGAGTTGAAGTCGGTTGTGGAGACGCGCGTGCTGCTCCTCGGGACGTGAAAATTCACACTCGGCTTCAGCCATCGCCTCCTCGCGAGCTCGCCTTCTCCCCTGCACTGCTTGGGAGAGGATGCCTTGAAACCGCCTCGTCGGGGCGCGACCGGGGGTAGTTTGAAACCGCACCACTTTCTTTTCCCTCTCCTCCTCTGTCTCTCTCGCTCCCTTCTTTTTTTAAATCAACATTTTATTCCAACGTGGCGTGATAGTTGTGATATCCTGACATCACACACAGGTAGTCAAATTTAAAACAGACGTTTACTGTAATGATTAAAACACCAATTCTGAATATTATCGTGGATCCAATGAGCTTGAAGATCCTACAACACTACAAACATTACTTTAAAACACTCAACTCAGGAAAACAATGCCACATTTTCTTCTATTTCACTTCTTTGCACATTAACATTATGATGCTAAAGTTGCCAGACAGCTGAGAAAAGTCTCTAAAAAAAAATCTTTAAAAAACCCTAAAAACTTAAAGGACTGTGCAGTTAACAAAGATGAAAAATACATGGATAAGCCTTTTTTTTAAACTCTAGTTCTAACAGAACAACCTAATAAAGCTCTGAAACAGCTGTACTACAGAACGGAAGAATACAAAAAATATTGTTAGTCATACTGTCTGATTATGTAACAGATAATATAAATCAGTCACACATGGGTCATTCACTCACCCGTGTGTTCCTTTAATAGGCCTTAAAAAAAAACAACAACACAGGCGTTCACTTGCGGTGTTCAACCAAACACGGACTCAGTCTGTGAAGTAGTTCACCACAGGCCTGAGGCAAATTCCACTCATACGTCGTATGTTTATAAAAATGCGTGTCGAAATAAACGAAGATTGGCCCGTAGTCTCGTAATCTGGGTCCATTGTGGTACAATCAAGACTGTATCCGTCTATTTTAATCAGTAGAGCTTGAGCGGCCTTGAAACTGCCCTCCACAAATTCTCTGCTTGTTTTGATCATTCAAGTCTTGAAGGAAGGGGGGGCTTGAAACAGCTCGGCCTCCTTGGTCCATAATTGGTTTTATAGTGCTGGCGCAGAGCCAAAGTGTTTACATCGAGATGATGGACAGCCCGGGAGACCTATCACACGCCTCGCTGTGGGTTTTGTCAGGTTGCGTTCAGAGGAGGCGGAGCGTGTTAAACAATGCTTGTTTCATTGCAGAAGAGTTTACTGAGAGCTACAGTGGTTTGTGCGCAAGGCCTTCCCCTGTCTAAGCAATCCCTCTGCGCTGTTACGGATGGTCTGTAAATGGAGTGTAAGAAATATTCAGCCCTGCGTCCGGATTTGGGGAAGAAACGGGATTCTGTAAACTGAATCGCCATTACAAGTAAGACGTTGTCGGCGCTGGTAGTGAAGGACCTAGTTTGGTTGTTTTTATGGAGCAAAGCAGAGGCACTTAGCAAAGAATGCAGTCTTCTTATGCTTCTTAGCGGTGAAAAGGCGGGGAACAGTCTGGTTTTATCGCGGTTACGTTTAAAAGTGTTTTGTAGGTGTAAATCCGTCCACAGACTGCATCATAAAAATAAAATGGCTCTGAATGCTTAATGTTTCCGCGAAAAAAAGTTTCGTTGCTGAAAATGGAAGCACGTAGGCTGAAAGTTTGAAACGTGGCCGTCGGGTAGGCTGCTGTTTGCCGTGAAGCCTGTTTAAAAACACTCTCCAAGCTTTAGCAGCCTAGTGAATGTGTATCCTAGGCCGAGCGGTCCGATCCTGCTCTCGACTGAACTTCACATTCGAGTTGCTCCAAACAGTAAAATTGTTGATGACCTGGAAGCGTAGTTTCCAACGATTAAGCCATAGTCTGCTATAGTGAACTAGCTTGCTGGATTTAAACAGACCACCGATTCGACTCTCAGAACCAGCATAAACAACTAAAGGACAAGAAATCGAGTGAGGATAGCCGTTGCGGTCGCAGTGTGCTCGGTAGAAGTGGACTGTAGCGGCTCACGGTCTCTCCTACAACGCTCGGGCTGCGTGAGCTCCTGGGACGGGCTGTTAGCTAAACACCAGATACACAACAGAGATCGAGTCGCTCCATCTGAGAGTAAAACCACAGCAGTTCCCAAACCTTTTTACACAACTAGAGAAGACTCCGGTGATCCGAGCTCCGGTACTCCCTTTTCTTTAGGACTCGCTATTTTAGTCGAAATTGAAAGTTCACTCGTGTTTTTTTAGAATGAGGGGAACATTTCACTCTTGGGATGCAAAGCTTTTCTCCACCTTTTACGTTTAAACGAGGTCAGGAATCGGCTAAAATATATTGATCGTAAGAACAAACCATGTGCCTCGGTGTTGGTAAATGAGCTGTGTTAAATTCATTAGTCTACGTACATTTTCGACATCAGAAGCCTCTTATTTTGCTCTTGCAGGATGTGCGCGGACACGAATATTTGATTTTCGCGTCCCAATCGCCCATAGTAGGCTTTAAATGAGCCAGCTATTATTTTCCGCCCTCTGCATGAGCTCGGGTCACTTTGCTGGAGAGCCATTCTGAATTCTGAAATGCCCACCTAAAAGCGAGCGAGCGCTGGGTTTTCCCTGCACAGTACTGCGGCCGAAACGCATAACCGTGAGCGATACGTGTAGGAGAGATCAGGGCAGGAGCCGTTCCTCCACAAAGTTTAGACTTTAGACAGCGCTTTCGCTTCTCTTATTTCATCGTAGGGGACGATTTTCATGCGCCGTGTTCACCGCCGAGCGAACTTGGAAGGATTACTATTCCCTGTGTGTTGCATTCAAACTGCGTCATTACGCCCCTGTTAGGAAGAGCCTGTTTATGTCTACATTTTTTCATCGATTCACATTTGATAAGTTGTCATTCGTATTTACCTTAGCCCTGATTTTCTTCTTGTTTTCGTAGGTCGGCACAATGCCGGATAAGGACTCTGATTTGCCTAGAAATCTAGGGACATTATAGCCTACACAGGCTCCTTCGGACTAGCCAAGCAAGCAGTTTCCTTTTTTTCATCATCAAGTTTGTCTTTTGTGGATGATGGATGGCCGAGATTTCGGCCCCCCCAGGTCTGTTCACGTCCCTCCACCGCTGCTCTCCGGACTGGCGATGGAGTCTCACCGGCTCGGCGCCGCCGCTGCACCTGGGAGAGTGCCACCGTCCCCCGGCCACTTGGGCGCGGGCCACCCGGCGCCTCTGCACACCGGAAAATTCCTCTCACCTACCGTTAACATACAGTCTCACCACAGTAAGTAACGCTTTAATTTCACCTAAAGAACGCATGGCTGTGGTAAACACACAAATTCCCTCGTTAGCGAGAATTTCAGAGCGAAACTTCAGTGGGAAGTCGTGAAGCTAGCTGTTAAGTGCTGTTCGGTGTGGCGACTGCCGCTGCCTGTTAGCAGGGTGGCTACACGGTTATATTTATTAGGAATACAGCCTACCGTAGACGGTCTGTTACGGGTGTAATTTCGTGCAAAATCTCAAGCTTTACGCCACTTATTACTTCGTTCAGTTACTGCGAGTGTGCTCAGCTCCGCTAATCACAATTTACCAGTCTCTTTACGGGCATAAGCATATGGAATGGCTTTGCGATGGTGGTCCTAATCACTAGTTTGTTTGAGTCTGCTGTATTAATAATACAGTGCACCTCAAACGTCCTTCCTATTGTAATAAAGCTAAGAATAACAAGGGCCGAAAATACATTTTTTTTGCGTTCACTGTGATGTGCTACAGAGTTGTCATGTGTAATGTAGGCTGCTGCGCGCAAAGCCCGTCTTGGAGAAGAAATGAGCCGTGCACCGTCCCCAGTGCTCTCCGTCATTAGCCGCCTGGGCAGAGGGAAAGCACTGATCGAGCAAATGGGTGCTGATGGAGTTGCTTGATGTAAGACTGTGGTGGGAGAAATACAAGTTTGCTCCTAGTGATGTGGCTAAACGGAGCCCTGCTCTTTGATTTTAAAGTTGTCTGTTGGAAGTTGATCACTGTTGAAATCGAGCTCAAACTGAAATTGCTTCCATTTGTCGTCTTTCCCCTCAAAGCTGGGACAGGCACTGTAATTACTGCTCCGACACTCCGCTCTCTCGCCTACTTTTACTGATCATTGCGTTGAGTTGCGTACGGCCACCGTGCGTAAGAATATTTTGGAAGCGCTGCTTGTTCTTTGGGTTAAATATTGCTGGTTATCTCGTTAGTGATGGCATGTGGGGAAAATACTCATCTGCAAATTTAAGCCCGAGTCAAATCTCGGCACCTTTTGTCTTGTAAATCATGCTGCTTCAATAGAAAAGGACTTACAGCGTTGTAATGAATGTCCCTACTTCAGAAGCGTTGGTGTAGAGGACCGTGAACTGCCGAAATACTGTGTTTGTCACATTTACATAACCCCTGGTGATCTAGTGCCATAAAAGGTCTGGCACCTTTTTGGTAATTGTCGTTTTGAGGTAAAGTGGCAGTTTCAAGGCAGGCAAATTGCATACTCCTTTTTCATTGTGGCATTATGACGGCTAAGGTATTACCATGCAAAACACATTTAAAAAGCAGATTGAAATATTCGGACTGGAGTAACGATGATAATCTGCTGGAAGAAAAATCCACAAACTTAAAATAGGTCCTAGTGGGCGTGGGCCTGTAAATTGTAAAGTATGATGGGTGAAATCGGTCAGGGAGGAAAAAAAAACACACACACATCTGGACTCTTGATGTAAAAATGGGGTAACCTTCATTCGTAGGTTTGCAGAGAAGGTTAGCTTTCGTGTTTGTAGCTGTGGTCTGTAATTCCCATCAGCGGTGACAATGATGAAAACAGTGATACGGAGTGGAGTTAGTTTTCACTTAATTTTTTAAATGTAGTGACCTGTAGTTATACTGTGGCACAAGCATTATTTTTCTTTGGGTGTGTTTTGTTACTTTTTTCTTTTCATTGAATTATAAAGTGTTCATTCAGTCTTACTGTGGTTGTTTTTATGCAAGACTGAGCTCTTTATGCAGGTTGTGGATCAAATCTAAAACTATGATTTACAATAAGGTTGTTTTTTTTCTTCATACACGTGTGTGTGTGTGTGTGTGTGTGTGTGTGTGTACATACTATTTTTTTAACGCAAAACTTTACCAAAATCTTGAACCATTAAATGCAGAAAATTATGTTGTACTCTATTTTCCTTCTTCTCAATTGTAACTTAATAGCTCGGCTTACTCCTTTATGCAATACTCTCCACCCAGGTTCAGTTCCTTTTTAGGCATTGAACTTATGTTGGATTTTTTTCTTCCCATCAAGTGTTGTCAGTGTTCTGAATAGTGGAAACAAATACAGTATGTTACAGTAACTCGCGTCTCTTTGAAATGTCCATATAGCACCTTAATGACTTGAAACCCAAGCTTTATGTACCTAAGTGTTTATTCAGATTTTTGCATAAATGTAGTCTGTATTTTTTCTTTATGTCCTCTTGTATATTTTCCTCTAATCTAAATGAGCTCAGTATTAGGCTTTAAAAGAGCAGTTCAGCTGTTCTAAAGCTGGTCTCTGTGGCGTTCCTGTACATTTTTGAAATCTGATTCCTGCATCACCATGTTCTCAGTGAGAAGTGGTTTTGTCCTCATGAGCCCTTTCATAGTTCGATCACAAGGTGACCCACCTTAAACTAAGCGCACATTTGTAGTTAGTGGACATTAATTAACTAAAAATAGTGTTGGCATAGTACTGTCTTGGACTGCCATAAGATATGCGTTCGATGCTATTGATTGTTCATAACGATAAGACACTGATAAGAAACTGGCATGTCAGTGAATTTAGTCTGTTCCTTGATACTTTTTTAAATGATTAACTTAAATGGATGATTGTTTATTGCAGAGCTTTGATGATTTTCCATGATTTTTACTGGTAGTAGATAAAGGCAGTCTGCATTATGATGTTTGTGTTTGAGGTGGAGAGTCTAACTGGTCATCTCTTATGTGCATGTACGCTGTTTGTATGCTTTGACATAATGGGTGTGTACTGATGAAAACATTGCTATGTGAATG